AAAAAAAAAAAAATTGAAGTATCTGCAAAATCTAAAAGTTTGAAAATAACAAAGGAAAACACACACAGTTAAATGGAATCTGATGGACAAATATAAAACAATCAAAATAATTTGGTCTAGGTCTGAAGAAAGCCTATCTGAAAAGAAAGAATATATGTTCTGTAGACAACAGAAGATGTTTTAACATCTTGAATTCTATCTGCTTGCCAAGAAATCAAACACAAGTGTATGCATAAAACGATCCCGATCATACTAACAATTGAATTTTGGTGTTCTCCAAATATTAAAAAGATGGAGTATGGATATTAAAGAGTAAAAGCATCAACATAACTTATAAAGTTTCAAAAGTAATCTTAAATAAATGGAAAGGGATTTCTGGGAATCAAACAAGGATGACTACCTTCAGGAGACTTTTTAAAGCAGCCCGCATATCCATTCTAACTTTATATAGACTCTTTATGTTCTCTTGGGTCGTGTTTATTGCTGACCAAACACGACTTGAGACGACAGGGTCTAATTTAGGTTTGACTGATTTAACCCACTCTTCATGGTTTGTTTTGAACTCATATCTGGAAAGCAAAAAGAAAAACAGAGATATGGATGTTAATGCTGCAATATGTAAAAACTAAAAGCAAAATTATCCTTTCATGACATAATAAATTCATTTCCTTTCTCCTTCCTTATAGGGAAAAAAAATAATCTGGAAGCTGCATTGAAGTCATAGAATAATAATTAGAGACATTTAACTTAAGCACGACAGATCAGGATATAACGAAATTAGGTGTCCTGAAAACAAAGTCATAAATTCATTTCCTTTCTCCTTCCTCATAGAAAAGAAATTATTCTGGACGCTGAATTGAAGTCATAAAATAATTATTAGAGCCATTAAAGTAAACACATATGGTTCAGGATACCACGTAATCAGGTGCTCTGTGAACATTGCATATTCATTTAGTCAAATTGTTGGAAAAATACAGCGAACGATCATGCATTTACCCTATACCTCTGTAGTAAAAGCATTACAGAAGACAGTGCTTTCAAAGTAGACAATCCATTTTCCCAATTTGTCGATTCTTCACCAAAACCATCTAGACTCGGCACATTCGATGCAATGTGCTGCCCAAGATTCACATGCTTAGGTTTCTGGTCTGCATATATGCACAAAAGAAAGTGTAGCTACTCAACTTTTCATTAAGTAATGGAAAATTTTCTGATTACTTTGACAAAAGTAATGATATTAGTTACTCGAGGTTTTACTAACCAATTATTAAGAAGAGGTGAAAGAAAACATTCATGGTAGATCAATAAGAAAATCTGGAACTTACAGCCGGCCAAATTCTCTATTGCTTTATTTACAATATGAACGGTCCTCTGCATCGGAACCTTACAGAGCTGGAAAAGATCATCAGCGATAAGAATCCTTCTTGTCCTTTTAGGCTCTAGCAGATTTAACTGAAGTAGAGTGTGTCCCACACGATGTAAAACAGAGGGATCAGATGCCAAGCATCCTGAAGCAGTAGTAATATTAATACTAAATGTTACAAACCGGTAATGCTGAAAGTGATAATTTAGAAACTTCACTTGGTTTTAATCAAAATAAAGCGGATATCAATAGACGAAGAGTATAACATGCATCAAATGATCTTTCTTCCAAAGTAACAACTTTTTAAAATCATTTTGAGGACCAGCTCAAACTCGACATCTGCGCATCCGTGATAATCACTGGCCTCTGCATGAAAGAAGACCAGGGTTGCTCGGATATCTCTGATGTACCAAGAATATTGATAAACCCAGTGAACAAGTTTTTGCAATTGAGACAAAGATGATTTTAGGGAGACATAGATAGAGAGACAGATTTCAAAATACTGAAATATTAGGGTGTTATTTACTACCGATAGCATCTAAACTTTGAGAGTTTGGAGAAACGCCAATTGCAGACACAATGCCATGCGATGGTCTATATCCAAGGATGCCACAATAAGAAGCTGGCACTCTTATACAACCAATAGTATCCGTACCTGCAATACCAATTCACATCATTCATGCAATTTACAAGAGAATGCAACTTACAGTGGCACTATGGATACATTACAGAACCACGTCTATTATAATCACGACGATCTTATAGAAAATGAAGCCATATTTGATGGAACAAATAAGTGGCATATCAAGAATATATCATCTATTAAAACAGAAATTTAAAAAAATTTGGCAGGAGGGCATTCCTTGGACTAGAGAAAGCCCGACTTCTATAAGGAACTTTTTGTCCATCAATTTCCATGTATTTGTGTTGCAGGAAACTAAATGCAGAATGTGTTTCCTTTGAAACAAGCAAGACATACAAAAAAAACATAACATCTTCAAGTACAAATCGAAAAAAAGAAAATGACAACGTAACATATTCATGAATGTAGCAGCACCAACAACACTTATTGAGCTCGAGAGATAAATTTCAAAGAAAAGGACTGTACCAAGAGCAAAGTCTACGAGTTTTGATGCAACAGACACAGCAGATCCACTCGACGAGCCACCAGGAACATGGGATGGCATTTGTGGATTTGTCGGAGTTCCATAACTTTTATTTTCCCCTAATATCCTGTAACATTTAATTAGCAATGATGATCAAGGTCTGCCTGACTGCATCTAAACTTCCCCCACAGGAGAACAAAAATCCATTAACAATGTATTTCAGCCAGAGACAAGTATAGACTCAGAATCCAGACATTTTTTTACTGGATGTTTTACCATCTTACAAAGCACACTTACATGATCCAGTCAAAAATACAAATAATTCCTGAATCTATTTATCTCATATTATTAGATGGAGAATGCAAAATCAAGCTACACTCAGATAAAAAGAATACCCATAACCAAGCTCATCCATTACAGTCTTGCCCAGGCAAGTTGCTCCAGATTTTAGCATCATTGTGACAACCACGGCCGTTTTTTCAGCCCCCTCATGTGTCCTCTTCCAATCTGTACTTCCATGCCCAGTCACATAGCCTTTAACATCAATGCTACAGAAAACCATAATTAATTAATGAGTCGCAGAGTGGATATGCAGGAAATCCACATTAAGTTACAAAGTTTCTCCAGGCACCTGGATTCCGCCAAACCAATAAACATTTCTAAGGACCAAAGTTAATGCTTAAGCACAAAAATCAACTTAATAAAACCCTTCAGTGTTTTTCAGAGAGAACCCCCCTCACACCAAAAATTAAGAGCAGAAAGAACAAAGTAGAAGAAGAACAAAGGGAAGCAGGAGCTCGCGAATAAATGAGTAATCACATACTTATCGTTGATGGCGAAGGTGAGGCCGGATAGTGGGAGGCGAGCCGCCGGTGGTGGCGGCTGAGAAAATGGTGCGAGCTCAAAACGGTCAACGAAAGCTCCGAAATCTTCTTTCACGGAGCTCCTGGCTCTGATCCGACGCCGCTGTACCTCGGCGAGGATCAAAACTCCGGCGAGGCCGACGCCGATCACCACCCAAACCTTCGGGTTTGATGGAGTTAGCTTCGATAGCTTTGACATTCGACGATTGTGGAAAGGAACTTTAACTGAAGAGAGAAGATTTTGTTGTGTAGTCGGCTAATTGTTAAGAAGGGGTTGAAGAGGGTTTTAGATTTTCATTTTCTTGGGGAGCAAGAGAAGAAGGGTTTGGACTGTCTCAGTCTGGGAGAGTGAGCGTGGCAGGGTTTAAGGAGAGGCGAGAGCGAGGCAAGATGTAATCATGTAGTAAAAATTTTATTTTTTGTTTTTTATTCATGTATTTTTTTTTTTAAACGATGTATCTCACAAAATTTGTCACCACTCATCACAACTAGAAAAAAATTTTGAAAAAATCTCTTTTTCTCTCTCTATGAATCCCAAATTAAATCAATCGTGCCCTAGCTGTATTTCTTCCTCGGGTGTGACTCCCCTCTGGCCACCCTATTCTTAGTGTTTTCGGCGAGCATTTGGCTTGCCCTGCCTGGGCTTGGCAGAGCGGCTGTAGCGATCTCACGCTTCTCCCTCCACGTAGTGGTCCCGCCTTATCCCGAGTGCCATGGCGAGCGAGTAAAGACGGAAAGCGCCGGCAGCTATGTCTGGCAGACACCTAGCGCAATCTAGCCTTGATTCCCCCCTTCCCCAGTCTTCCCTGGTGTTGGGAAGGTTCGATCCTCCGGCGGCGATTGTGCAGTAACATGGCGGCTCTGGTGTATGCATGAGGAGGCTGTGGAGTGGACTGGCTTAGGTGGGTCTGCGGAGTTCTAGAGACGCTTGTCCGATCTGCGTCCAATTCTAGTTAGACCATTAGAGAAGTTTATGGTTCCGTTATGGCCTCTTCTCGGTTGTTCGTGTTTGGGAGTTAGACTGGGTTGTGTTGGACTGGGTGAGCGACAAATAAAAAGACAAAGGTACTCCATCAACAAAAAACAAACTCATTACAAAAGCCAAAGTTCGCGCAGATTCGTTAATTAAAAGAAAAGAAAAAGAAGGAAATAGACTACGAAACAGAGAAGATCCTCTTCTCGTCAGCCTGCGATGGGACATTGTCCCAACCCATATGTCGCTTGACCGCCATCAGAGCAGCCTCCCACCAGGCGTGGTGGCGAGGTTCGTCTAGGTTACCTTCTTAACCATTGGGGTCCGAGAGGCCTTGCCAGAGCTGGTCCTCGTCAAAGTATCCAGTATAGCCTCCTGCAACAGTCTGATCCCTAGCTTGTTGATACAACCTCCAAATACAGTTGGGCGGTTGGCACCAACAAATGAAGGAGATGAGCCGACAATCTTGCGCTTCTTTGAGCATGATTTTTTCGTCAGAGTTTTGTCTTGAACAGTGCCACTAAAGTTGGCATCAGTGGTGGTGCTAGAATGATGCTCGATTGGAACGAATGTAGACCGTCAAAGAACGTCGGCTAAGGAGTTGTTTGTCACACCTGAGTGGTTTTTCCCCAGAATTGGTCGCAGGGGATTGCAGAGGCTTGCCCCGGGAAACCGAGCTAAAAGGTGCCTTCTTTCATTATGTCATTTGCAAGGAAAAAATGAAAAAAAAAATATATATATTGGTATTAAGAAATGATAGATAGAAAAGTATGAAGGAGAAAAAAACACTAATAATCGAAAAAGTACCTACGTCGTAGTGTCGGGAGCAGGGTAATGAAAACAGAACACTTACTGATCTCAACTCACGGTCGTCAGTGAACAGGACGAGGTCATAGAGAGTTTTGTTTAGATCGATGACAAAGTCTATATATGCTTGGTATGATTTGGTGGGCTTGCGTCGTTTAGTTTTTTTTGTGAATCCACTCGCGAGAAAAGTCAAAAGTACCTAGGGGAGGCCTTATGAAGAAGTATTTGGCCTGGCACTCAAGATTTCTAGACGACAGATTGTCAAGGAAGTTCGTAATATTGCGACAAGATAAATAGAATGAGACTTTTTGGAGCTTCATGCAGAAACACTAAAAGAATAAGTTTAGATCAAATGATTGCTAATGATGCAATAGCCCACCATAAGCGAATGGCGTTGGAAGCAAATTGGTTGAGAAGGATTCCGTAGAGCTTAGATAGCTCTAGGATATCAGACTTTAAAGGGGCAGTCAGACCAACGTATACCTGGTCTACAAAAAAGACGTAAAAGCCCTTGGGGCTTGGAGAACGAATCCCCAGCCCTGAAAAGCCAAAGCTCCCAAGATCGGGAAAGCCCACATGAATGTTTGAAGTATTCTAGGTCAATTCCTGACCAGACGGGTAATGGATAAGTCTTGCGACGTGGAAAAGATTAGGGAGAAGTATGGCCTGAGCGCCTACGACTATAGTCATCTAGGCAGACAGGTGCGAAGATTTAGGAATAGTGGCCACATGAGTGGATTGGAGGATTGAATAGTTTTCGATGATGGTATCTAACCAATTTAAGAGGAAGAAGTCGAAGAGCTTGATGGCATGGAGAAAGAAGATGAACAAAGATAAAGAATGACCTCAGTTGTTTACAAAAAAGGATAAAGGGACTGAGAGATGCGGATCAAGGTTTCAAAGTAAAAAGTGAAAAATGAAGAGTATTAGTGAAGAAAAAAGGAATGACGACTTAAGGAAGATTTTTATATGTCTCAGTGGGTAGGACAAATACGACCGTTAATAGGTACATACATCAAGGGCTCAGAAGGTGTATACAAATCCGACCGATGAAGTCAACCTCGACCATTGGCACTGTTGCACCACCACACCACCACCACCATTTTCAGACACTCTTGTTCATGCACTAACTCCTCTTCCACTGTATTGACCCTTTTGATTATCTTCCCTCCAACCTCGGCTTTAGCTAAGGGGGATGTTGGAGTATATTATAAAAGCTCGGCTTTGTGTTACTCAATAATTCTATTTTGTATGAGATGTGTGTTTATAGTCAAATGGATGTTCATAGTAATTTACTTATACGAACGTTGTTCCTTTATCCATTGTAGATGATATAGTTCCGGGTCTGGAACAGTAAGATCATATTATCAGTTTCTTGTAAAATATAAATAATTATTCATAGTCTAGACGGGAACTAAACTCCATTTCATGAAAGACTGTAGTGTGAATCTTGGAGTTAGTTGACCGTAGACTAACAAATTACACTAGTACATCCTAGATGTATTAAACAGACTTACATAAGGATAAGATTATTTTATATTGAACAAGTAAATAATCTAGAGCTCAGTATTTGTTGCGTATTCTTAAACAGTAAGACAATGACTGGCATATGTAGTCGGCACTTACTTATTTGATTTATAATGGGTGAGACTTATTCTGGTAGGTCATCATACTCGATATTTTGGGAAGTAATGTCGGCGGCATGACATGACGTTAATATTGTTTACGGTAACCGTATCCCAAACAAGCCCAGGTTGATGACGTCCCCGAAATGAGCTCAAGAATGATTATAATGTCAAGCCCAGCCGATGGATTAATTTTGGAGATAATAATAAGAAATTGAGTGGTATTAGAGAAGTTGATTAATGTAATTGACAGTAACAAAATTAATGAAAGGACGTTAAATCGTAAATACGGCGATATAAATAGAGCAATAAATAGAGAAACAAATTTTAATTTCGAGTTAAGCTGGGAGTTCAACAATATTTCTCTAGTAAAATGATTTCTTACTCGAGTGAGCTTGGCCCATAGTTGGGCTCATGTTTGGTAATCCCATATTTAACACCTCCTTCGAGTCTCTACAGTAGTTATATAAATACACCAAGTCTCAAGCCTCCAAACATAAGATCTCTCATAAGTGTTCTACAGGTTTGGTTTATTTCTTCCCAATGAGAATCGATCGGCTACTTTGAGTTCTCTTAAGAGTTTGTAAGATTTGAGAGCTTCATTCGATCGCTCCACCAAGATCATTCGGAGAAGGTGTTTTGGGTTATACAATAGAAGATATTTTGGTCTTGTATCGTATACTGTGCAATATATTCGAACCCCGCAATGTTTCTCTAATTCGCGGGGTCGTCTGTTCTTCACAAAAACTGAGATTCATAACCACCGGAACCCTAGGACCATCATTCTACAACTGCTGAAGTCAGCTGCACCCTGGTCGTGCTCAGTCGCGCCTTGGCCGCGCTTAGACGCGCCCTGGGTGCGCACAGACCCGCAGAGACCCGTTCCACTGCTCATGTAGCCAGCAAACCTGCAGCGACCCGCGCACAACCAGCGCACTCCTCATGCGACCCGCACGGTGACCTGCGTGTCCTTCGCGAGACCCGGCAATGAGTCTGTGCTCCAGCGCCACCTGCGTAGCCCTGTGCGACCCAATAGTGAGCTCAGTGAATTCTTCGCACGACCCGCATGCTCCTTAATGCTCAAGTGCGCAAAGTTCCAACGACTCATGTTATCCCAGGCCCAACATTTTTGCGTGCTACATGACCCACGTGCTCGCAGGCCCTGCAAGCGTACCCAATAAGGCCCAATTTATAGCAATGCAACAGACCTGGCCCAGTTTGCTCGCAGCGACCAAACCAATCCAGTCCGACCCAATCCAGCCCAAAAGCGGTCCAAACTAACCTAGCTCGGTCTAGAAGCCTCGACGAGCCCTCCATGACCTGGGAGTAGTTTGACTTAGCCACCAATGGTCTAAGACGAACCGACGCGAAAGACAAATGATCGGAGATGAGAGACGGTTGATGTCTGGTGATAGTGAGGCCAAGTCCAGAAACCCAATGGACTCTGAGGTTCAGACGATCTTCAATAGCGGAAATCAGAAATGTCTCAGAGTCGACAAATATTTTAAACTGTAAGTCCTAATCCTAACAATAGATTCTGATGCGTTAGAATTTATTTTTAGTACATTCGAACGTACATAAGGATGATGTTTCTCATTAAACTCAACAACTGGTATTAGAGCCCAGGCTCATTCGTCTTTGTGCACCATTCGAATTAGGACTTCCGTGACACATGTGAATTATTTTTTTACGGGCACAATGCATAGTAGATTAGAATTACAAATATGTGTTGTTTGCAGGTACTTTTTAATCCGACTATTGTGGCCCGTTTGTGAATTTAATTCATGTATGTAGTTTATAAGTTCGGATATGTCGAGGATTTTGGGCTGGTGAATGCTTGTAATAATTTATTCGCGCGGTGGGATACCGAATAGCCTAAATACTTAACTAGATAATTCATATACGACCCGTGCGTGGATCATAGAATCAAATATGTAATTTGTTATTATGTTGTTCGATTTACCTTGTTGGACGCAGATGAGCCCAGATGATGACTATCGGGATATCCTGACGAGGTGGAACAAACCAATAACCCGCGGTCAATGGTGCAAGCGACATCGCACACGAGCAGGTGCTTCCGCTGGCAGCTTGCTACCAGGCGCGGGTGTGCCAAGGCACGCGCAGGTGATGTCGACGGCGACCGATGACAGGAGCGGACGACGACAGCATACTAGGCTTGCGCGCATGCGACAATTAAGCAAGCGTGTCCCGCGGCGAGCTTACAACTTGTTCGCAGTAGTTCGCACACAATGCACAGGACTCAAGCTCAGACGCTCAATGTACATGGTGATGCCGGGTGGTTGCAGTGCCAGCTCGGCCGAGTGTGGGCCACTTAAACGAGGCACCGATTCACGGCTAGTGGATGCGCTAGGCGACCGGCGACGGGCACGACTGTGAGTGTATCTTGTGCGTGCGTTGCTGGGGGGCCGTGCGTGATGCAGTGGTGATGAGGCAGCGACTGCGGCGTGTCCCGACGACAAGTGGCGAACTGGCGACACAAGATTTTCCCGGCGATGGCTTATCTGGCGAAAGTAGCGTTCGAAAATGGGATGCTTGTTCGAGAAGAAAAGTTAGAGTCACAACAAAAATAAAATTCCAAGTTAGAAAGAAAAATGCAGCTTTACAAGGACAAGGATTACTATATAGTTTCCAATTATGATTGGAATCTTAATTATTGACCATGATAATTAGATTAATTTCTTAGTTTATTATTGCCTTCAATTATGCACGTGCCTAAAATTAATTTGTTTCTTTAAGTGCAAGAAAAAATAATAGGAGTATGTTTAGAAAAATCTATTTTGCTAAAATACTAAGTGGTGAATGAAATTAAATAAATTTAAAATCTACGGGCTCCATTATATGTTTATCGGTGAAGTGATCACAACGACAAATTTCTTTGGAGATCAAAAGCGTGCGAACTGTAATCGGCGGACGTACAATTTTTGGTAAATAATTAAATATTATAACGAGGACGACGATATTACAAATTAATGAACGAAAATTTATTGTATTAAAATTAATTTTCTTTTATTTTTGTAAATAATTGAAGTTTTAAAATAATTATAGGTTTATGCAACTAATCCTACGCGTTGAGTCGAAGCCCAGCCCAGTCAATGGATGCCTTCGATCTCTATCGGGAAGTCTTCATCCTCTTTTCCCCGTCTCTCTCAGCAGAAATTGCAGAATATAAGCGACAAAGGCGCAAAGCCTCGGTGGCTCCGCAGTAAAACGACACCGCATTACGGCTTGCCGAGTCAACCCTCGCCATCTCCCTCCTCGTACCTTATCGCAGGAAAAGGAACAAGCGAAACTGGAGCGGCGATTGATGAAAAATTCGGATGATTGGCTTGGACCGGTGAGAAAAAGCCGAGAGGTATAGAGGAGTTTTGGTATATGGTGGATGCTGTCACACTCGCGATGGGTGTGGCGGGTTCGAAGCTGGAGAAGGCTCTAGGTGATCAGTTTCCCGAAGGCGAGCGCTATTTCGGCTTGGAGAATTTCGGCAACACTTGTTATTGCAACAGCGTCCTCCAGGTGGGGTGCCTGGAATTTATTGGCTTTATTCTTTTTTTCCGTTATTGGGATTTGTTCGGCATGATTGATTATACGCAGCTATATTAGATATGGCGAGTTAAGTTTTGTGGGGTTCTTTCTGATGGCTGATCTGTGCCAGGAAGGAAGGTTAAAACAAGAAGTGCAAATGGTGGGTTCTATTGTTAGGTGATAAATTGATTGAAAGGGTGTGATTTGTGCTCCAAATGCTAAAATAAGGATTGAAAATGAAGGGTTCTTTTGTTAGGCCATAAATTGAGTGAAGGGGTGAGCTTTTTATATATTTTGGTTGTCGGCTGCTGAAATGTTCTGATTATTTTTTAAGCTGGCAGAGATAATACTAGTTACCATCCTGGTTTTGTTTTATATTGTTTTAAGTTGTCTTTGCAGTTTAACTTATGTGATGATTGTCTCTTGTCGAGATAATGGCGTAGTTTCATTTACAAAGTGGGTAGACGGATCGTATATATTGTCTCTTGTCGAGATAATGGCGTAGTTTTATGTTGAGCGATATAATATATCTTGTGCTGGATGAGAATCTTTGCTATTTTCAACTCTCTAATGTTCTTTTCTGCAGGCCCTTTATTTTTGTGCCCCGTTTCGTGAACACTTGCTGGAGTATTATTCTAACAACAAAAGCCAAGGGGAAGCAGATGAAAATATCTTAACATGTCTTGCAGAACTTTTCTCACAGGTAGTGCGTTTATCAGCAATTTCAGTATTTCTCATTCATTTGCTTTTCTAGGTGTTTCCAAAGACATTTCAACACTTCCTTTACTATAGATTTTGTTAGAATAATATCTATATGGGCGATAGTTCGTAGCACGGTAGAAGAGTGTAGCTATGAATGACCTGCCTTTATAATGTGTTGCTAGTGTGCTTTGTTGCTTAAACAAGTGCTCCTAGTTTTCATCCTATATTTAAAATTTTACAAAGCGCCATGTGCCGAGTATGGTGGAATTTAAAATATTGGTTGACCAGATGCTTAGTCTTATCCAGAAATATCATCTCTATTGGTGTTGAAGTTCATATGTTAAACCTTGACATGAAAATCTTTTATGATTAACTAACATGTTAATTATCATTATGTAGATAAGTTCACAGAAGAAGAAAACGGGTGTAATAGCTCCAAAGCGCTTTGTACAAAGAGTTCGGAGAGAAAATGAGAATTTCCGAGGATACATGCATCAGGTAGGTTTTTTGTTAACATTACTTCTATTTTTACTCGTGCATTAGTCTTACTGAACACATGATTGAAATGTATTTGTATTTTTTTTTTCAAGAACAAAAGACAAATATTTTGCTCTGTCTTCTTTGCAAGATGGAGACGCTTATGCACGTATCTCTGTTTTATCCAATTTAATTCTTATGCTTAATGATGCTTCCAACTGCTTGATTTTAACACACCTTAGTCAGCAAATATGGGAACTTAAATCACAAGCTTAAAACCATTTAGAGTTTTATCTCCAAAAGGATTCTGCTTCTATCAAGGAGCCTTAGAAGTTTTCTGCACCATTTAGATTCAGATTTTGAGGTTGACTTTTGTTTCTGGACAGTAATTAGAATTCATAATCTTTTCTTGAAATAAATCTCTATGTATTTGTAAATAGTCCATGTACGTATATTGTTCCTACTCGTGCAGGATGCTCATGAATTTTTAAATTATCTGCTGAATGAACTCGTTGACATATTGGAGAAAGAGTCTCAGAAAGTGACCAGCGCGCCCCAGGCTTCCCTTGACACTACTGTTAATGGGCCGCGCAATGGTCCAGTCGATGGTGTAAAGAAGGAACCATTAGTTACTTGGGTCCACAAGAATTTTCAGGTCAAAAGTATTTCAAATTTTCAAATTTTAAATGGCCTATCTGCTGACACAAGTGTTTGGGACTATGTTCTAAAATAGCTGTGGAATATATAAGGGCTTCTAGCCTCTCATTTTTCTTATATAAGGGCTTCTAGCCTCTCTTTTTCCTTCGTGAATTATTTCAAATTGACATGTTTTTCTGGTGATTGTCCCAAGTTTTGAGCTCTTATGTTATTGTATTTGTCGGCTGGCTCATATTGTGAGCAGGGTATACTAACAAATGAGACAAGGTGTTTAAGGTGTGAGACGGTTACTGCTAGGGACGAAACGTTCTTGGATTTAAGCCTTGATATCGAACAGAACAGTTCAATAACAAGCTGTCTCAGGAATTTCAGCTCCACCGAAACCCTTAATGCTGAAGATAAATTCTTTTGTGACAAGTGCCGTAGGTAGGTGCTTTTTTTTTTAATTTTTTTTTTTTATTAATAATAATAATAATAATAATACTGGTATTTGTTCTAATAACAAAAAATTCAAGTCTATCTGACACACTCCCTGTGATTGTATAAGTGAAATAATTGTCAAGATCGTTCTTGTAATTTCAATAGATAGCTCCCCCGGAACGAAAGAACACTAACTCATACAAGAAAAAAATGGAAATTGCAGTTTGCAAGAAGCTCAGAAGAGGATGAAGATAAAGAAACCACCCCACATCTTGGTCATCCACCTCAAGCGCTTCAAGTACATGGAGCAGCTTAACCGCCACAAAAAGCTGTCCTACCGAGTCGTGTTTCCTCTCGAACTCAAGCTCAGCAACACTATGGAGGATGCTGACTCAGAGTACTCATTATTTGCTGTTGTGGTCCACGTGGGCAGCGGGCCCAACCATGGCCACTATGTCAGCCTTGTTAAGAGCCACAACCACTGGCTGTTTTTTGACGACGAGAATGTGGAGATGGTGGATGAGTCTGCCATCCAGACCTTCTTTGGGTCGGCCCACGAGTACTCCGGCAGCAATGACCATGGTTACATTCTCTTTTACGAGAGCCTTGCATCTGAGAAGGAGTGCTGAAACTAGAGGGTTTTTCTTTTTGTATTGGAGAACCTTATATTATTGTAATTTGTGTTTTCTGGTGCTGTATACTTCTTTTCGTGTTGGATGTCGGTTAACCTGTGCCGACTGGGATGAAAGTATTGTTTTCTTTTGTACAGTTTGGATGATGAATATTGCTCCAGAGTTGAGCTTCGAGAATAAGAGCGAACTTGATCAAATCATTGTTGCGGTTTGTGCTTTCTCGAGTCAGGAACATGTTTTTGTTTGGTTCAAGCGCGTATGTGATTGACATTTGATAACCACTCACTCTATGGAACTGTGTAATTGTTGTCTAGTTGAAACTACATGAAAACCGTAGTAATTTCAACACTTCTCCACTATATCTCGCATCCCCAGGTGTCCATTGATTAAGTTGTACTTGTTGCAACAACTGTGTTTTTCACCATACTCCCAACAATTCTGGAAAACTTGTTCCTTATAAATGCGTTGTTTTATAAGTTCTTTAAAATGAATCCATATAAGTCATCATATCTCTCCCTATAATGTCATAACTAATACACATACCCATTGAGAAGCTAAATGATATTGCGACAGGAAGAGGAAAAAGAAATAAGCAAATGTGTTATAGCATTTTTATAGCGTCTATAGTCATATCATGTGCAGTCATTATGTCCTGCTGCGTCAATGTGATGAAGTCCCAGTGGCGGCATTCGTATTTGTGTGCGGCGGGGACTGCTTTAGACGCGGAGGGGAGTGGCCGTGTTCGATAAGGACGCCCCTACTCGCCAGGTTGTGTGCGGCTGCTCGTGCATCATCGGGCATTGCTCGGCTGCGGCTAGTTGCGGCATGCGTCGTGCGCCGTTGATGAGAATGGAGGTTTGGATGCCCTTGGAAAGGAATAGTCGAGTGCCGAAGCGACTGCACGAGAGCGCGCGAAGGTGCAAGACAGCACGCACATGGCCAGGGAAACGCACAAGCCGCCAGCTGGTCGGCGAAGCTTGGGACACGAGAGGGGTTGGCGTGATTTGAGGTGCAAGCAACCGAGATCCTTCTAGCCTAGATTCTTGAAGATCTTGGGCTGATTTTATTAGATTAATTATTTAGTTAATTATACCAGATTGTTTAGGAGTTATTGAATTTAGGTATTATTAAGATTTGAGTTATTTACTTTCCATAAGACCTTCTCCAACCGTATTGCAAAACGCAAAAATTGCAGTACGGGGAGCTCCAACCGATGCCAAAAACCGATCGCAAATTGCGATCTCAACCTTCTCTCTCTTCAGATTGACGCATATTTGCGTCTGAACGCAAATTTTGCGTTCCATCTTTTTTTTTTTTTTTAACATTTTGGTCCTTTAAGTTTGTTTAATTTATAAATTGATTTTTGTTTTTTTAGTTTTCTTTATTTTTTAAATAGTAAAAAATAAAATAAACAATCTTTTAAATTGAAAATTAAGTTTAAAGAATACATTTTTTTTAATTTCGTGAAAATTATATAATATGATATTTAATATAATTAATATGATATTATTTTATATCTGTTCATAATAGAGTAATTAGAGTATATTTACAAGTTTATTTTATATTTACAGTCTAGATCATAGTTTAGGGCATATATTCACTAAGAAAATTTAGACTGTAAATATATGACCTAAACCATATATGGTCTAGACTATATATGTCCTAAATTATTTTTCAAAATGTGAATACATAATTTTTATAATTACTATTTGAGTAATAAATATTTATATAACATTACATATTCATATATAGCAAATTATGTTAAATAAAAATACATTTTTATTATTTGAGTAATTAACATTTTATATAAGATTAAATATACATATATATTATTTTATTTGAAATAAAAAATGAATAAATAATAATATATTTAATGTAGAGTAAAATGTAGAGATAAGGGCTGGAGATGAATGTTCAACTCTACTCTAGAGTAGAGTAAAGTCCGCGCTAGAGTAAAGATAAGGGCTGGAGATGGCTGATGCGGATGAGGGCCGTCAGCTGAAGAACGCGTACAACCGGGCTCGTCGAGCTAAAATGAAGCTGTAGAAAAATTCTGGACTTTCAGGGGTTAGCGGCGCTAAGGACCTTAGCGCCGCTAAGGCTGAAAAATAGCTGGGACAGAGGTTTCACGCTAAGATGATTAGCGGCCAGTAATGACCCTTAGCGGCGCTAAGGGTCTTAGCGGCGCTAAGGTCTGGGCGGGAGCAGTTTTTTATTTCAGTTTTCTTTTCGTTTCAAGTGTATTTGGGTAGTTAGTAGGGTTATTTGTATGCGTTTTTTAGATATTTTCAGACCATCTTTTGTATTATTATCATATTTCTTAAGAAAAGCTTGTTTCCAAGCAAATCATAGTGTCTAAATCGGGTTCTTTAATTCGGTTTTGATACAAAATTTGATATTCGATACACGATTCGTAACATTGGTGCTTTCACTGAGAGTTACTAATCATGTATCATGGCAACTAATCGAGAGAGGATGGATCATATGGAGGGCAGCATGCGTGCAATGAGCGAAGAAATTCAATCTACGAATCAAACGATGGCAAGACTTGAGAGGATGATGCTCCAAACCGTTGGACGACGAGCTAGGAGGGGTAACCATTCGGAATCATCTTCCGAAGGGTCAGCCGAATCTGAGGAGGATCACGAAAACCGGAACGAATTTCCGGAGGATGAAGATATTCGTTCAAGGGGATCAAATCACCGTGGAAGGCAAAGGGTCGAAAGGCCTAAGTTAACACTCTCGACATTTAATGATACGGATCCTGATTCATGGTTAAATCGTGCTTGTCAATACTTCGAGATTAATGAGATACCCAAGTCGGAAAGAGTGAAATATGCCGCTTATTATCTTGACGGAGAAGCAAATGTGTGGTGGCAAGGGTATACAAAAAAGAGGATAAGCGGATTCGTTGGAAAGACTTCGAAAAAGAGATGATTATTCGCTTTGGTGTGTCAGATTATCACAACTATAATGAAGCCCTATCACATATCAAGCAAACGGGAAGCTTAAGGGAATACCAAAAGGAATTTGAGAGAATTGCAAGTCGAGTTCGCGATTGGCCGGAGGGAGCACTTGTCGGTACATTCATTGGTGGGTTGAAACCCGAATTGGCAGCTGAGGTGAGGTTGGACAAACCAAGAACCATGCGTGCCGCCATGGAGGCCGCTAGGATGCGTGAAGACCACTTGATGGCACTATGGAGGGCCAATCGACCGGAAGTGAGGCGACTGATGACTTTCCCTACTAATGTTCAAAGAATGGGATCCAATACACCAGCCGGTAATAGAAAAGACCTTTCACCGGGGGTTAAGCGTTTGTCTTGGGAAGAGATGCAAAGAAGAAGAGAGAAAGGCTTGTGCTTTAATTGTGACGAGAAATTCACACCCGGTCATCGGTGCAAAGAAAGGCGATCATTTTTCATTGAATGTGTTGAGTCCGAAGAAGATGAAGTAGTGGGGGATGAAGTGAAAAGTGTAATCGATCTTCACGAGGAGGACCCGGAGATATCGGTCCATGCAATGGCGGGAACTCAAGGACCTTAGACGATGAAGATGCCAGCTTGGGTTCGCGATCGACGTGTAATTGTGCTAATCGACAATGGTTCGTCTCATAATTTCATTAATTCATCATTGTCCGATAGGTTAAATTTACAGGTCACAAAAGTTGAGCCATTTGAAGTGAGGGTGGCTAATGGCGAGAGATTGAAATGCTCGGAGTTTTACCGGGGTGTGCCGATAAAAATGCAAGGGGTCACCTTAAAGGCCGACTTATATGCACTACCTTTGGTAGGTCCGGACGTGGTTTTGGGGGTTCAATGGTTGGGAGGATTGGGTCCGGTTACTATGGACTATAGAGTGGGAACAATGGAATTTCGTTGGGGTGATGGCATGGTTAAATTATCAACCGGAGGAAAGGAGGGAACGAAGGAGGTGAGTGCTCAAAGTTTGGAGAAACTATGGAGGCCAGGTAGTCAAATCTTTGCCATTAGAGTCGATAAATTGGAGGGTGTTGATGAGGAACACTTTCAGCAAAAGGAGATTGACGAGTTGCTTCAACAATTCGAAGAAGTGAAAGCTGATCCAAAAAATCTACCACCACGAAGAGAGTTCGATCATCGCATTCCCTTGTTGGATGAAACCAAAGTTGTACATGTACATCCTTATAGGTATGCCCATTTTCAGAAAACCGAGATTGAGAAGCAAGTTCGTGAAATGCTTGAGTTCGGATTAATCCGGCATAGTACGAGTCCTTTTTCTTCACCGGTACTTCTCGCCAAGAAAAAGGATGGGACGATGGAGATTTTGTACGGATTACCGGGCTCTCAATGCGGCTACCATAAAAGATCATTTCTCAATCCCAAGCATTGATGACATGTTGGACGAGTTAGCGGGATCCCGTTATTTTTCCAAATTGGATTTGCGAGCGGGTTACCATCAGATACGGGTGGCAGAAGAGGACATTCACAAGACGGCATTCCGGACTCATCAAGGTCACTATGAATATTTGGTAATGCCTTTCGGTTTATGTAATGCGCCATCAACCTTTCAATTTGCTATGAATTCGATATTTCAAGAGTACTTGCGAAAATTTGTGTTGGTGTTCTTCGATGATATATTGGTGTATTTGAAGAATTGGGATGATCATGTGATGCATTTGAAATTGGTATTGAATATTTTGAAGGAGAACGATTTTCAGATAAAGTCTTCGAAGTGTTCTTTTGGCCAAGAATCGGTGGAGTATTTGGGCCACATCATATCTTTTGAAGGAGTTAAAGTGGATTCCAAGAAAATTGAGGCGATGCTTGATTGGCCTAAACTGAAGAATTTGAAAGAACTTCGGGGGTTTTTGGGGCTGACCGGATATTATCGAAAATTTGTCAAAGACTTTGGATCGATTGCTAAGCCATTGACGGAGATGACGAAAAAAGGAGGGTTCAAATGGTCGGCTAGTAGTGAGGAGGCATTCGAAAAACTCAAGGGGGCTATGTCAACGAC